TGTTGGTTTGTTGTTTTGCTGTTTTGCTTTGTGTGTGTGTATTTTCGTGTAGCTTCGACTTTGTACTTTCGTTTGTTTGTGTTTATCCTTGTTTCACCATAACCATGCCCTAACGTGTTATATGTTCAACCTTTGTGTTCTTTTGTACCCTGTTCCTGTTAATTACTCATGTTTTCCCTTATTTTGTATTCCTAGTTCACTGTTTTTGTGTGAAATTTTGTGTATAATGTTAGTGTAGTTAGTTATTGGGTACATTCTACACACTTAGTTGATTTTGTATTAGTAACACTAGTTTGGTATGGGTGAGTGCCGTTTGTTTTGTATGGTTTTGGGTTGTCAGTGGAGGTTAACTAGAGACGCAGAAGACTTTGTGTTTCGGGTGTTCTTTTTTTAAGTCAGGTTATCTTTCCCTCACTTTCCTAGCCAGCTCCATTTAGTTTATTTTCATGTCTTTGGCACCACTCTAGTCCCCTTACCCTCTGTGTTACCGTGTCTTACAATCATCACTTTTGGACCCACCCTTGTTATCACACTTCCTAGTCCTTTACCAGAACCCACCTGCTTCCAAAAATTATCCTAAATGTTACACCCCTTTACCCCTAGACACTTGGGGTCATAACATTTTTGGGGGCTTGTCTGGGATATCAAATTCCCATTCTAAGGATTTTTTTTTATGTTGCAGAATTTTGGTGTTGGTAACTTTGTGCGTTTTGGGACTGGTTAGTGTCATTTGGTATTTGTTTATCGAATAAGGACTGGTATAGGATTTTGATTTGTGGATTGTTTTTGGCAAGGTACTGTAGAAATGGCTACTTTTGATTTATGAAAGTTTGTGGAGGAACCTTCCTTTGAGCAGCTGGACAAGTGTAGGAAGGACGAATTGTGCCAAATTGCTGATCACTTCCGGATTCAGGTATCGGAGAAAGCTCTTAAAAGGGATATGGAGGTGCAGGAAAAAGCCCAGATACGCCAGGTAGAATTTGAATTGCGCCTTACAATTCGTAAAATGGAGGTTGAGACGGAGAAGGAGGTTAAGCTCCAACAGCTTCAACTATAAGCAAAAAGGAATGTTCCTGCTACGCAGTCGACCCACTCTGAGGCCTCTAGCGTGTCTTCTTTGCAAGATCCACTCTCTACCACCTTCGATGTAAGTAAGCACATTGCTTTAGTTCCTCTATTTAGGGAAACAGAAGTTGATTCGTACTCTGGTGCATTCGAGCGAATTGCCACATCACTTTGTTGGCCTAGGGAGTCTGGTCACTGCTTTTGCAGTGTACATTAGTGGGCAAAGCTCAGGAAGTTTGTTCTACACTTTCTTTAGAATAAAGTTTGCATTATGATACTATGAAAGCTGCTATATTACAGGAATACGAATTAGTTCCTGAGGTTTATAGACAATGCTTCCGAAATCATAAGAAAGTGTCTGGCCAAACGTTTGTTGAATTTACTAGAGAGAAGGGCACTCTTTTTGATAAAGGGTGTGTAGTCAGTAAAATGAGCGACTTGAACTCATAGCTCGAGTTAATGCTCTTAGAGGAATTTTAAAACTGTTGCCTGAACACGTTCTGTATTTAAATGAATAAAAAGTGTCTTCCTTATCGCAAGCAGCTATTTTGGCAGATGAGTTTGTGCTCACGCACAAAAACGTTTTCATGTCTGCGCTGCGCGACTTTGTCTACTTCCAGTTCACAATCTCAGTCTCTCCCAGTAAAAACTAATTCCTCACATCCTAAGGAAGAACGGGAATGTTTCTATTGTCACAGGAGAGGTCATATAATTGCAGATTGTTTGGCCCTAAAACGTAAGCAGCAAGAAAAACAAACAAAAGGCTATACTCTACACACCTGCCAGGTAATTTCCTACTATAAAAGTTACCCTTTAACTAGTAGCGAAGAACGTACACCAACTCTAACAAACCCCTTAACTAGGGCACAATCCAAATGTATCTTGTGTAGAGGCACTTTCACATATCCCTTGGACCAAGATACTAGAATTATATGAGGAGTGATCTGAAAAGGGCAGTGTGTCTGCAACAATAAATGACTGGGCTGCTCCAGTATTCCTAAATATCTGAATCGGCTTCTGATCCCCTGGTTCACCCATGAACAAAACTAACCCTTTCAAAATGAAAGGCTCATAACCAGGATCAGGAGTATATTCCATTGTTGAAGGAATGACAACATGGGAAACAGTATGGCTAAACCCTACACTCTTAGCTTGTTGCTTCTGCTGCTGCTTACGTTTTAGGGCCATACAATCTGCAATTGTATGGCCTCTCCTGTGACAATAAAAACATTCACACTTCTCTTTAGGACGTGAGGAACTAGTTTTTACTGGGGGAGACTGGGAGATCAAGTCTTCTCCGCACGTGCCGACGTGAAAACGTTCTTATGCGTTAGCACAAACTCACCTGCCAAAACAGCCGCTTCCAATAAGGAAGTTACTTTTTGTTCATTTAAATAGACAATGCATTCAGGCAAACAGTTCTTTAATTCTTCTAAGAGCATTAACTCGCTCAATGAGTCAAAGTGGCTCACTTAACTGGCTACACACCATTTATCAAAGAAAGTGCCCTTCTCTCTAGCAAATTCAACAAATGTTTTGTCTGACACTTTACGATGATTTCGGAAGCATTGTCTATAAACCTCAGGAACCAGTTCATATGCACGTAGGATTGCAGCCTTCACAGTATCACAGTGCAAACTTTCTTCAAGAGAAAGTGTAGAGCAAAATTCCTGAGCTTTGCCCACTAATCTACACTGCAAAAGCAGTGACCAGACCTCCTTAGGCCAAAAAAGTGATGTGGGAATTTGCTCGAATGCACCAAAGTACGAATCAACTTCCGTTTCCCTAAATAGAGGAACTAAAGCAATGTGCTTACTTACATCGAAGGTGGTAGAGAGTGGATCTTGCAAAGGAGACACACTAGAGGCCACGGAGTTGGTCGGCTGTGCAGCAGGAGCATTCCTTCTTGCTTATAGTTCAAGCTGTCATAGCTTAACCTCCTTCTCCGCCTCGATCTCCATCTTACGAATTGCAGGTGTACCTGGGCTTTTTCCTGCACCTTCATATCCATTCGGACCAAACGAACTTTCAGGTGAGTCTCGCTTTTTGACCTAGTGGAGACCGGAGAGAATGGTTCAAAGGCAGGTAATGTGGCCTCCACTAAGTCTTCAGCCACCCCCTGCACCTTGTCCTGTTCTTCCACAACCATAGCAGGCTTAGCACCAGCCCCAGAAGAACCAGTGTCTTGCTCGCTAGTGCAATGACCTCTAACTCCACCAACCTATCCATCACAGCTCTCTTGATGTCCCTTTTAAGAGCTTACGTTGATACCTGAATCCGGAAGTGATCTGCAGTTTGGAGCAATTCGTCTTTCCTATACCTATCCAGCTGCTCAAAGGAAGGTTCCTCCACAAACTTCCGTAAATCAAATGTAGCCAAAACTACCATGCCAAAAACACAATCCACAAATCAAAATCCTATACCAGTCCTTATTCAAAAACAAATACCAAATTACGCTAACCAGTCCCAAAATACACAAAAGTACCAACACCAAAGTTCTGCAACCAAAAAAAAATCCTTAGCACTGGGATTTTATATCCTGGACTAGCCCCTAAAAATGTTACGATCCCAAGTGTCTAGGGGTAAAGGGGTGTAACATTTCGGATATTTTTTTTTGGAAGCAGGTGAGTTCTGGTGAGGGCCTAGGAAGCGTGACAACAAGAGTTGGTGCAAAAGTGATGATTTTAAGTTGAATAAGTGACTGGTAAGACACGATAACACACAGGGTAAGGGAACTAGAGTGGTGCCAAAGAAAATAACAAACAAAATGGAGCTGGCTAGGAAAGTGAGGGAAAGCTAACTTGACTACAAATTTAAATCTTTTTGTTTGTACTTGGGAGTATTACATTTGTAATTCTATAGATTTGTTGTAAGACATGTCCTGGGGATTTACTCTTAAGCTATCATTTTCGTTTGGTTGTTCATTTATATACAGTACTCACATTTAGACACTTATTCTGTAATGAAAGGGCTTTCTAGTTTTGACTCTGAAAATGAATAGACCAATTTAGAATGTACAGCACATAATTGTAGCTATTACTGTTAGAAGAAGAATATGAATATGAATATGAATATCCAGACATAGACAGCAATAAAAACTATTTCATAATCACATGGTTCTAGTACATACAAGTCCTAATAACTGTGATACTATTGAAATTGCCTTTGAATGTAAATATCACAGTTAGGGTACCACTACAAAACATGTAGAGTTGGTTCCTGACAAAGGTGGCTTTGAATGTTATTAACAGCTTACAAGAAGAATATTAATGCAACATCTCTAGCACTAAATGTACCTTAATATGGTTTTGACAGTACACAATACCTTCAAAGACAGCTTGTTTTATAACTGAATAAAATGTTACTGTGGCTGGAAGATATTCAGCTAACTGGAAGTTATTAACTGACGTTTTGGATGGATAATAATGATGAATCAATCTCACACAGCTGTACTGTATGTAATCACCATCATTATGGACATTTTTCTGGAAAACAGGCAGCAAAAGGGTGTCTTTTCTCCCCCTTTCCTGTATAACAACATTTTAAAATTGAATATCATCTTTCCAAAAGGTGAATTCACTCATTAATAATATGCAAATAACAAATTCTGTAATAATATTCCCTTTCATTTAATTCCTCTTTATCATTTCTTTCTTTGGTTGCATTTACTTAGTAGCATGTATTGTCTAAGGTGAGGGATCACCTGGAGTTCATTAGTTCAGCCACTTCGTTCTTAGTGATTAGTCATCATCTTGACAAAATGCATTAGAGTGGCCTACAAGCTTGAATGGACAAGGCCATGGGCCAAAACAACAAACTAAACGGCCTGTCACAAAGTTAATAAATAATTCATTTAAATGTTATATTCTCCTTTCTGAACATAGAAATGCATTAATATTTCCACTCCACAACAGTAATTTATGCATGTTCCATACCTCCTGAGTGTGGTGGTGGTCCGCAGAGCAACACCACAGCTTGTCCTTCCCGCACTGACACTGCACTCCTTTGTTTGCTGTTGAAATTTTCAAGGTCTAGAAGAAAGCAAGTAAAACATTTAATGGTTTTAGATTTTCTTTCAGGAAATTATTTATATAAACAGACACATTTATAGAATTCCATGTTAAAACAATTTAATGCAAATAATTACTTTAGATAAAACACATTTACTAAACTGTTATGAATCCTGCCTTAAGATCATTTTTAAACAAAATTGGAATTACGTCTTATTTTCTTTTGTAAGCCTCACATTTGAAAAAAATCAATTACTAACCAATTCACTGCACCATTACAACCCCCATTCCACTAAAGAGCAATGCGCACCATGCAAACGTTTGTCCATAAATTTACAAAGCATAGGATTGCTGCTTTGCCACTGCACATCAAGCTATCTCAAGCTCGCTTAACAATGGTAGATTATTCTTCAATTGTACATCACTGATGAGTGCGGTGAATCCCAGTAATAGTGAGCTAAAAACACATCATACACTCCACGCAAATGCATTTACTAATTGACTTGCTTAGGATGCCCCTTATATTTTATTTTCAAATACCAAATATTATACCTACTGTTTTTCTGCTATTTGCTTATTTCCTTTCAAATGACCTTTTCAGTTGCCATTTTCATATCAGATATTCAATTTTTTTAATTGATAAAATTCACGTAACTAAATTTACTAGTGTGAAGAATACATTATACATACATTAACCTTGTGTTAAACTATTTGCACCAAGCTTCTTATAAGAATTTTATCTGAAATTCAATTAATAGATAATGATGAGAATTAATTGGACACTTTTGACAAAAGATTCATATAATGTGGAAGGACTATTAAAATTAAATACAGTTTTAAGGCCTCATTAACACTTTAATATGACCTGTGATTACTCAGATACAAGATACGTCATTTTTGTTCCTGGCTGTTTTGCATATTAAAGCAATTGTATGCGTTTCAAAGATGGGATATGGTACTATCCAGCCTTCTTCTATTATTTTTTTATTTTTTTATACCATTAAAAAATTATTAAGAGTTTGTAGGTATCTTCTGAAATTGACCTACATGTATTGTAAACCTTTTTCAGTAACACCTGCCTTAGGTTTCAGTCAGTGCAATTATGTAGAAGGCATTTTCAAGTAGTACTTACAGTAGGTTGACCATTAACATGAACATTCTGGCTTTTTCTTGGCTCTGGAACAATTATTGAACAAGACCTGCATTTGTAGCATTTGATGTGTCAATAAGAGAGCAATAAGAGTGAAGAACCCAGAGAATTTGGAGAAGGAAACAGAACCCTAAAGCTAAAGTCTGGTATGGAATACTTTACCATGGCTAAAGAATATGCAACTATTGCAAAAATGCTAAAAACATGCAAACAATAAGATGGTAGAAGAATAGTATAAATTATCTGAACATTCTACTTCTTATGAAAGAAAAAATACATAAAATGTTCAACCATTCTATATCTGTAGCAGTGATGTGTAATTGAGGTTCTGTTTTAAAAGTGAATTTTAAAATAAAACTTTAATCAGTTTCAAATCCTAGACTGGATTTGTCATGGATTCCAATATTTCCTTTAGGGGCATCTTTATGTAAAAAAAATAGCTAATAAGGTGCAATGTACTGCATATTCAGAGCTTTTAAAACATTATAAAAAATATTAACATATTTCACAAACTATACAAATATATTACAAATCAAGATGGCAAATAGTTCACTTAATTCTATTGTTTCAAATTTTGCTTTTTTACCTTCTATCTGCTTAATAATATTTCTGCTCTTTGACTGGAGTACTGTTGCAGGAATTCTAAACTGTCTAGAACATGATTCCACAAGTTACATTAGTTTAATTGGATGTTTGTCTTCATCGACTCAATGATACTTATGCCAGTAATCTGTAGCCCCTTTCAGTTTATTGACTTTTAGCATACTTGATTGCACCTTCCAAAATACCCTACAAAGTATCCTACAACCTTTTACCTACAGAATATTAGCAGTTGGAATTTAATCAATGCTTTGTCACATAAAATTCAGATACAATTATTAAAAATAAAAATGAAACCAAGATGTTCAGGAATGTTATTTACCTCACTAACAATTAAAAAAGGCAAAACTCTCTTTTAAATTCAAAGATTTTTGTGAACAATCATAATGTAATTTACATTTTAGTCACCAGATACTATAGGCTTGTTGATTATTGGAATAGTACTGTTCCATTGGATTAAAAACATATATATTGAGCTCAATGATTTGAAAAGCTGATGATCGTATTTCAATTAGTACAAGAACAGTAAAAGGTAGAAACATGCCCTTTAGTAATGAATACCACTTGGTTGCTATCAGCATGACTAAAAGCAACCTGTGTGTGACAGAAGGTGTCAGGAGAATGAGATGTTCTGTTTTAACAAGCAACAGATTAGTCCTGAGAAACCAGGCTTTGTGAGAGACAGGTCATGTTCTGGAAGGTAAACAGTCACCACACCAGTCTGGGACCATCACATCACAGTTGATCCATCTGTGTGATGGTTTTCATATTGCAGTGGCTGCAGAGCAAGGTATTGCCAAGAGTAAAACATCCTTGTGTCTCATTAGAACTGTAGTTAAATGCCATTTTAACATTCATGGGGCCTTCCAGTTGAAATCTAGGATAAAAAAATCACCATTTTCTCTGGGCTAGAAAACAAAACTTTTCTCATGATGGCCCAATTTGGACATAACTGAATTATTATTTTCATTATTATTATATTTATATTATTACATTAATATTTTTACTCATATATTTAGTTTTTTACGTTTTAATAACAAGATCAAAGTCTGAAAACAACCTATTGTTGACAATGAGCTGCCCTCATGACAGATGAGCATGAATTCATTGGTCTGTTTTTCAGTAACTGTGAGTTATAGGGTCATACTCTTAATCAACAGTAGATTTCACTGTACTGTCAGAGTAATGACCAATGGTATGCAGGGCTTTTTCATGATCACTTGAGCAGCTTCTGTATCTGGTGATGATGATGATAGAAATTGTTAACCGTTTCTTCCAGGATACTGTAATTGTCACTAAAAAGACAAATCCACAGTTGACAAAGCAGCTAAAAACAATAAGATTCAATAACACAAATTGATCATTAATGCTTAATTGTAATGGAGGTGTGTTGTACCATCAAAATGTATTCATTTAAAATTCACTTAATTCAGGTTTGAATAATGTTGGTTTATATCTGAAGTTTAATTTCACAATTATTAGATTTATATAACAGCAGTAAAAATTAAAAGCATAAATACGTTTAATAAGAATAATATAGGGTCTTTTCCGTTCTCCTGCCATTCCACAGTTCGTCCCTTCTGATATGTGTGACAGTTCTATCAGTCTCATATAACTAAATCACATTTATATTTTCAGACCCAAGTAAATATGCATTTACTATTGTGAACTAAACATCAAACGCTCTATTAGAATCATAGCAAATTTATTAAGAATTAAGTTGTGATTAATAAGGTCTGTTGTCCAAATGTCCTTGATGAGTTAAACTTCAGGCTGGTAAGCCAGAGCTAGTCTCGACTGGTCCATGATCCGACTTGCAGCTTCTCTGTGTTGGGAGGGTCCAGGTGCAGACAGAGCAGAGAGAGATGGAGCTTTTGCCTTGCGCTGGGGCTCAGGCAGCACTGTCAATGTAGCATCTTGCTGACCTTGGTCTTTGAAACAGTCTGTGCACTGTTTGTCTTCTTGAGGTTTAGCCACAAGGTAGACATGAGAACTGAATTCATTCAGGCTATGGCTTTTCAGAACATGCTTGGATATTCTGGAGTTTAGTAGTCAGTGGTTAACTGGCAAAAATGTGTTGGGTCACAATTTATACGGCTGACATGTCCAGTTGGTGGTTGTGATGCTATCAGGTTTAATTCTGGTACGCACCACGCTGATCACTTATTGGTGGATCTACCTTTGGGTGTTTGACTGTGCCTTTGACTTTGAGGTCCAGATGTGCCTATGGCTCTCTGCTACACATCCAGGTGCCAGCAGTGGACATCCATCATGGGAATTTAGATCATCACTGTCCTGGGGAAGACCATTATCCAAAAGACAAACTCAGCTTTCTTACTTTCCCATACACAAAGACCACTAACTAAGTCATTCTGTGGCTGAGATCACAAAGAGCCTCTTTACATTCCTGGGCCATCATGCCAACAGGCCTGGTGCTGCTTAGTCAAGGCCCAGAAAGACTATTAGAAATCTTTAACACTTAATTCTAAGTGAAATAATAGGCCATGTCACTACAGCCTCATGCTAAAAGGTGGAGTGTTTAACCTCTCCTGTCAGTGTTTCATTCTATTTATAATTTAGGGAAACTTTGGGCACATAAATGTACAAATCCTCACTAACAATTTAACAAAAAGCATTAAACATTTTTAGAAGGGGTTTCACAGAATTATTTTTCAAAGCAGATCATAACATGTTTTTGTGCAGTTTTAAAAAGAAATGAAAATGGTATTTTGAGTCAGCTGTTCTATGCTGAAACTGTTGATGGTCCAGGAGCAACAGGGTCTGCTATATTCACCTGTAATTTATGTCTGCAGTTTGCTGCTTTTAATTAAAAATAGCTCAATAGCTGCCTTGAAGAAAAAGTGCAATACCGTGTATATGTGTCTATACCAATAGGTAATAAAAGTACGATGTCATTATCTGTATCACGATTCAGGTTCTGATAATCTTTCATTATCAGGATTGCATTTCTATAGCTTCCTATACACATACGGCTATTTTATATACCAAGAATATTTCTAATCATATTCAGTAAAATCACAGGTATACAGTATATAAGAAAATAAACTGAAAATAATTTTAAGGTGTCATAATCTGAAGAGTATTTGCTGTTATACAGCTGTCATACTAAGAGGCTACAATACCTGTCCCCATCTCTTTTTGCAGCACCAAATGGGGATGAGACCTTAAGGGTGAGAAGCGCAGTTTAAGGAGGTTGTGAATTATCAGCTCTCACAAAAGACGATGTATCTGGAGACATCATGGTGAGTGT